GCTATAAATAAACCCCAAACTTTTTTTAATTTATATTAGCGATTCCAGTCTATAGTATACAGTATTTAACATAATTGTATATGTGTATTTAATGTATTGTATTAATCTATTTATTAATGCATTTAATAGTGTTTGTTGAAATTTTTTTTTTTTTTTACTTAAGTTCTTCTTTGATTTAAAATATAATAAATTGATATAAAAAATAAAAATAAAATAAAATAATTAAATAAATAATTTAATTTCTTTTTAACAACGGAAATATTATTAAATTTACGAATAACGTATGTTAAAGTTTATATAACAACGTACAGTAAACAATAAGTGATGTACTGTATGCTGGATAAATCAGTTAATGTATTAAATGCGCGCATCAATAACTGACAGTAGAGTTATACTGTATTAAATTACATGTTTATTATTTAATAATTATGTGATTATTTTTCAAAAAATTTTTGACTCGCCGTGTAAATCCTTTTGTTTTATTAGATCAACTTTTTTTTTAAAAAAAAAATATTTCTTTTTATTTTTTAATAAGATGTTCGTATCGAATGCAGGAAAAAGTCGCTCGAAAAGACTTTATAATGATATACCTCATTTTTTTTACCATAAAACTTTCAAGTATTCTAGTAAGTTTTTGACTACGATATCGACATAAACTTATTCACCTACAACAAATTGATGCATATTTAAAATGCAATAGCATTCAGCCCTAAAAATCAACCCCTGATGATATATGTTCATTGGCCGTATTGCCTGAGGTATAGGATTTTAAAAAATCAAAATTATTTTATCACAACACATTCACTAACATTCGATGTCTTTTTTTTTTTTTTAGCAAATGTACATACTGTAATTTTAATAAATACGTGAATCCAAAACCTAATCATGCAAGAATGAAGGATTCGTTGGTAATGGAAATTAAGCATTACGTAAACGAATATGAATTAAAAGGAAGACAAATAAACAGCATTTATTTTGGAGGTATGTTATGAGCGTATTTGTTAAATAGAGAAACGAATTTAATTATTTCCTTTCAGGAGGTACACCGAGTAAGCAAGTTTAAAGACGAAAATTTATAAATAGATGAAAATGATGATTTAATCAATCAGATGAACCTAGGTTTGGCTTTGGTATGAAGTAATTCATTTCGTTAAATGTGTTGCACATATACTTAATATCTCATTTATTCATATTCAATACTATTCATTTCAGCCATCTACATTCGACGCAGTCCTTCAAACTATTTCTCGGTACTGTTATTTACCTGAAAATGCTGAGATCACAATGGAGGCAAGAGTTTATGCTAAATTTTGGCAGTAATCATATATAGAAAACTTTAAGCATCTTCATTCTTTAATTAAATAGGGGAATCCAACAGTAAGTAACCATCTCAATATTTTTTTTAATCAGTTACCGTAACTATTCACAATGAAGTTTAGTCCACAGAGTCCAAAAAGCTCGCTGAATTTCGTTCGATAGGAATTAATCGACTTTCCCTTGGCCTTCAATCTCTAAATCCAAAGGATTTGAGGTTATTGGGTCGAGATCATACTGTTAAAGAAGGCATTAAATCATTAGAGATAGCCATGCCGATATTCAATGGAAACGTCACTTTTGATTTGATTTTTGGGAGAATGAACCAAGAAGTAGAGCACTGGAGGGAAGAGCTGAAGGAAAGACAATATCTTGACCTTTATAAAACAAATTACTATCGATAGCAGCTTTTTTTTTTTTTAATATATTGCAGGCAACAATTTGATAAATTTTGTGTTTGTGGTTCATGAAAAATTTAGATGGCTTTGGAAATGGCATCAAATCATGTATCCTTATATGAATTGACTATAAAACAAGGAACTCCGTAAGATACGACATCTTTTACTTTAAATCATCGTTAGCACTAAAACTTAATACATTTGATATTTTATATCTAGGATATATGGGGATCATAAATTGGGCAAGTATACAATACCAACTACCGATACCATGGCCAACATGTACGAAGTCACCATTCAAGTGGGATAATCTGTTTACAATATTTCATCGAAGTGTACATTATGATTTTATTTAAGCACCGTTAAATTAAGACTATTACGGTCTTAAAAGGTGGCAAAAGAATTTGGGTTTAATCAATATGAAGTATCAAATTTCGAAAGGAATGGAAGTTTTAGTAAGCATAATTTTGGATATTGGCGTGGACTCGATTATCTGGGTATGTATAATTACTACAGTATAAGACGTTTGATCGATTGATCACAACATCGTTCTAACAATGTTTTAAAAAAAAAAAAGGTATCGGACCAGGAGCTCATGGAAGAATCTACAATCCAACAACCGCAACTAGGACAAGAACTTATAATGTAAGTAAGAAAAAAAACCTATTGATGTCATGCCATAACACACTATATATCTCTAGATATTATATCCTGAAGAATGGATGTCTCAATGTGAAGAACTAGGTCATGGGTAAATATTTAAATAATTGTCTATTACGCATAAATTTAGCTTTGATTATTTTTTTTCTTAGAATGAGAAAATCCACTCAAATGACAATTCAAGATATAAAGGAGGTAAGTAAATAAATATGGGAAGTCGTTTTATAATCTTGGTTTACTTGAAATATCGAATCTCATGGGAAAAAAATCACACAATTAAAGGAATTAATACTATTTGGACTAAGAACAAAGGTTGGAATTACTCGATCTAGATTTAAGTTATATTCTAATGGTCAGGAGTTGGAGCAGGTAATTATTTTTCATTCTTCATTTTATTACAAGGATTTAACTCATGATCCAAAAAACAATTCAAACATCCCACCCTACATTTAAGTATATTGATATGAAGCAAGTGAATTCATTTGTCCAGGATGAATTCTTGGCATGGGATAATGGTAAATACAAAGTAAAGTAATAAAGACTTGAAATCAAGTTTGAAATTAATACGTTTCCAACTTGTAAAGGTAATGATTCTACGAGACAAAAACTGGATAGCAATGACCAAGTCTGGGTACCTTCTGACCTTGCAAATGAATTAAAAGATGGTGGATTAAGACCTACCGAAAAGGGATTAGCCGTAATAGATGAAATCATTCCTAGAATTCTTTTTTAAACTTTGCACAGGAAAGTAAAAAATCATTTATTTATTTTTTTTAATTAAATTAAAATTAATTGTTGAAGATTGCGTTTCAAAAATGGTCTGCGGTTTCTTGTAACATCAATCTTTTCTCTAATGTAAATTAAATTCTGTTGTCGTATTTAGAAGATTTTGCCTGTTATTACTTATTCTCGTATTTTTTTCTTTCATTTCACATTACACAGAAAATGTCATAATAAAGCATGTTAATTATTTCATATATGGTCAATATTAGAAAGCGTAAAGCTTCCTTCTTTGCTCTTGTGATTAAATTTGGAAAAATAAAATCATTTTGTCTATTCTCGTGTTCTTTATTCTTCCCTCATTGATATAATTGATGGTTTGTTATACAGTATTTGCTAGTTTGCATAACATGTCCCAACGATTCGCTACATGATCACGTGATCCCAGTCACAACTTGTAATAACTTTCTGAGGACGCACTGAACAATTCACAAATTATAGTGAAAAATAAGAAGCGTTACTGCTCTCGGGTCACAGTAATTTATGAGGTTCCGTGTGAGTAAGCACATTAATGCCAAGATCAGGACGAACTCCTAATTCTTCTTTATGCTTCCGGATCTCATTTTTATGCGTAAATATATCATGTCAATTTATATGGCTTATAAGTCAAAAAATTCGTGTAATTAAAAAAAGAATATGTAACTACTATTATACATTAAAAATAAATTTAAACGATCAAAAGATAACATTTCGATAAATTTCTTAAAAAACAATTTCACCAAATACTAATAATATAAAAAGAAATAACACCGCAGAAAGTTTCGGGAACTATTTTTATTGGTAAATGTGGTATCCCGTTACGTCATCATGTTTTCGCGAACGGCGGGGAAATTTGATGGGAATCTCTAGAATTTATAAAGTTAGCACACGCGTTCTAATAATAAAAAAGCACCAAGTTAAAATAAACTCTTAATTTTTTTTTTCACGTGTGCGCCAAATATTTGTAACTTGTACTACGCGATTGGGCGAAAGGACCGAAATTGCCTAAGGGAATAATAGTCGATAGAAAAGTTAAAGTGTAAAATCGGCCATATTAGGAACGTCTCAAGAGTAAAAAAGCTTTGATTATTTACCTTTGATCGTCCGAATTTGCCGCAGACTTGTCGATTACGTTTATAACGCTATAAAATAAAAAAAATTTATAGGAAAGGGTGTTCGCAATGAAAACCCAATATGCACTAAAGCCCGTGTCACTCAAAAAGAGGGGAATAGTATAATCGTGGCTAGATCCATTGCTCTTATTCCTCGACTAAACCACCACCATCTCTAAGGATCAACGAACGATAGGAAACAGGTTTCACGCTCGCCCATGTTGCAGTTGCGCAAGGAAGGTTCATAACCGATCCCTCATTCGGAACCAGTAGACCTTGTTACCTACATCGCAGACTCGATCAGAACACAACGTTATAAGGAAACACTTAGCTGTTTTTTCCATAGCTAGAGATTTTGGTGAGGTAAAATATTATGAAAGAGACCTTTCTTGCAGTGAAGAATATTTAGTTCGATAAGAAAAGAAAAATTTTTTCGCGACAGGATAGATTTTGGAAGTGAGAAAAAATAAAGAAAAAAAAAGTAAACAACGGAATATTATACACGTGAAGGTTGTGGCTAAAAAACATGACGTAAAAAGCATTATACAGTATAACGATGACATACAGTAATTATTGGGTATTCGGAAATTGAATTTTAATAAATATTTTATAAAATATTCTTTGGATTGAAGATGAATCAAATTTTCAAATGCCAACGTAATAGAACTCTCTAATTTTTATTAAATTTTATTCTCGATCGCTCAATTCATTTAAAATGGCAAATCTCTAAATTAACAAGATTCTTAAAAATATCATAAAAAAAAAAAATCCTGTTTTTTTTGAAAATCATTGATTGTTTTTCCAAATTGAGAGATGATAATAAGTATTGCATGCATCGAAATTGTCAAATTAGCATTAACGGACGGACCAATAGGTTGGGTTGCCTACGAACGCAGTATTTTCGATCCGTAATAACCTAATATGAACTAACGGTCATCCGTTGAAAAGTTAAATGCGCACGGTAAAACCTCGATGATACTTCTAGCGTGAAACGATTGACGTTTTAAAAACTTGCCATCACTTCAGGAAGAAAAATGATTGGAATAAGGTAAAAATTTCTGGTATTAACCGATCGCTTAAAAGCTCTTTCTAATTAAGTTAGAAAGAGTAATTAATATTGTACTTTGGAAATACAACTTATAAGGAAAACAAATATAGTTCTTTAAGGAATATGATAGGCACATGTACATATCTTGCGAATGCATGTGTTTTTGTTAAATCGAATATTCTCTAAAGATGCATGTTCTTATTTGCGAGACAAAACATTTTCTTTGCATACTCACAAAGAATAAGAGACGTTCTAAGCGATTTTTTGTTATGGCATATTGAGATGCGAAACTGCTTTATGTAAAACTAAGGAACACACGTTCTTTTATGAAGAAAACTTTGTTCACATGAAATAACGATCCTTTGTGCAAATGTCGATTCAAACCCAATTTTTTCGACATGCATGCTGTAAATCACACATCTCCTATGAAATTGTTTCATTATAGATTACCGGTGACACTTTTGTTGTTGCCATTAAAATCCCATTCGGTTTCAGGATATTTTTTGTTTTAACAATTAGGGATTACTCTCAAAATTCCAATTGGTCCGTTAAACCAAGACAACACATTCCAAGTACGGCACAACCTCAAGAAAGGAATATAAATAGATGGTTCCCTCATCTAATTTTGACCAGCAAGCATTTCTTACTGGGTTCTTGACGAATCCTTAGCTTCTCTTTTTTCCCTTCCCATCAACTAGCACACCTCTCACACCCTTACTTATATCCATTATTCATTACAATAGCATACATTTTTTGAAAAAATGTCACATACCATCAAATTCATCATTACCCTCGTGTTAGTTGTAGCTCTTGTGGCTTTGGTTGAACCGGCCAGTAGTTCTTTTAACTCTTCCTCGAGTAGTAATTCACGAGAAAGATACATCGTATTCCTTAATTCTCAATCCGGGACCACCAAGCATTTTCGATGGTTAAAAAGAACCTTAAACAGATCATCCCAAAAACTAGAAGTCACTGATTTTTCGGCATCAGCAATTGATAAGAATATGGTCATGGACTTTTCGGTAGATGGGAAAGCATACGGTTATACTACCTGGTTCAGTTCCAAATTTGTAAAAGAGAGGTTATCCAAACGTCAAGAAGTCCTTATGATTGAAAAAGATTCGCCAGTAAAGATCAAAGCTACTCAAAAGAACCCTAATCCAAATTTAGATCGTATAGACCAAGCCAAATTTCCGTTGAATAAACAATACACCTTTCCTGATTCAGCCGGAGCCGGCGCTGAAGTATACGTAGTTGACACGTAAGTTTCTTTGATAACGTTTCAATGGTAATAACGACAATACCCTGACAGTTCTTTCTAAATATTAGTGGAGTTTTGGTCAGCCATAGTGAATTTGAAGGACGTGCAACATTCGGTGGTGCTTTCTGTAGCGGCTGTCCCAATACCGATGACAACGGACATGGTTCTCACGTGTCGGGGATTGTTGCCGGTAAAACCTTTGGAGTGGCAAAAAAGGCAAAGATCATCGGTGTCAAAGTTTTGGCAGCTGACGGTAGTGGAACAAACGCGGATGTGATAAATGGTCTAATGTTCGTTCTCAGTGACCATAAGAAAAAGAATAATAGTGCTGTAGTCAAGTAAGTTGAGGATTTATGTGCATGAGACTTCAAAAAAAAAAAAAAAATCTTTATTAAAATGCTATCCTATTCACCACAGCATGTCCCTCGGAGGTACTTTATCGTCGGCCGTTAACTTGGCAGTGCAAAGCCTTACTGGTAGCGGTGTACACGTTGTTGTAGCTGCTGGTAATGAGGCTACCGATGCTTGTGGGTCATCTCCCGCCTCCGAACCATCAGCCATTACTGTTGGTGCCACTGAAGATACAAATGACTCCGTCGCAGACTTCTCAAATATTGGTAAATGTGTTGACCTTTTCGCGCCAGGTCGAAATATTCTTTCGGTTGGTATTGGCAACAATGATGACACCGCAGTATTCTCGGGCACAAGTCAGGCAACACCTCATGTCGCCGGAACTGTGGCTTTGATTATTGGAGAGAGTGGTAATTTAAGTCCCAATAAGATGGCAACAACTTTAATTAACTTGGCAACCAAGAATGTCTTAGTAAACCTTCCGAATGATGGTAGCCCAGACGAATTCTTGCGAGTTCCTAAATAAATGAAAAAAATTATATATAGATTGTTATATATGTTTTTTTATAGAAAAATGTATTTATTTTGCATAGTGCGTGAGGATGATTAATAAAAACGCTTGTCAATAATTCATTTCTAAGCAACAACAAGATGACAAAAATACTGTTAAGAGGTTACAGCTCCTAATGAATTGTTCCCATACTTTTAAGTGATAGATCATGTCTTGTCTGTTTATTCATATTAACGTTTTATAAATTTTTAAATAATCAACTCCACTTCAACCGATTTATTGGTACACGCAAGAATAAAACGTTATCGTAAGTAAACATATTTTTGTTTTTCTATCATATTGAGTGTTATTTTGAATCGTGAATAAATTTGATTGAGCGTGAGATCTATGACGTTAGACGCGCTCTCAAAATTAATAGATTCGTTCGGACCCTGAACCCTTATTCTTTTTCTCCGCCATTTAATTTATAGCGAATATTCTTATTTTTCTTTGAGTTGCAAGTGTTCTTCATCTTGATATGCGAAACAAGTCAAATTTTTTTATTTTTTTAGAATTATCACGTTAATAAATGCAATGGTATCAATTCGTTATAGAATAAGGTTTAGTGTTTTTTAAAAAAAAAAACTTTTTTTTTTTTGGTTTTGTTTTTTGCTACATAAGGGTTAATACAGTATACTGCGAATAATTAATTGCAATGTACAATTCTAATTTAACAAGAATAAGATAAATCAAATAAATATACAGTTTCCTATCTAGGTAAACACAGTTACACAACTCTACCTATATAGGTAAACACGGTTACACGGATATTATGCGCACAAATATTTTAATAATGCGCACAAAATATATTAATTTTTGAATCTACAGTAGAACGAAAAGTACGCGCGGAAAAAGAAATCCGAATGGCACAGTAACATACATATACAGTATAAATACAGCTTGTATTCGATCATGAAATCCAACAAATTCGTTCAAAAAAAAAAATCAAATCAAATCAAATCATGGAAAATATTTCTAGAAAAAGAAAATTTCTTCCGAATATCGAAAGAGTTGAAGTACCAAAAATATGTGTTTCGGATATTTCAAAATGTTTAGGATATCACGAATGTCCTTTATCTTTAAAAGAAAAAAGTAGATTAAAATCTAATAAAAAACCTCGTTACAATAAACAGCCCTGTTCTGGTACAGATTTTGAAAAATATTTATTTTCAAATTACTTTCTGTTTAACGAAAGCAAAATGATAGATTGCATGAAAGAATGTATGAGTGAAAGCATGTGTGAAACTGAGCTTGAACAAATTTTATCGTCTGATAAAGAAGGAAAAATGCTTTATTATCAAATGAAATTTAATGTACCAGATTTATTTTATGACAAGTATGAAATAAAGAACTATAAACTTGGAACATTTAAAATTGATTTCATTTTGATTGAAAAGGAACTAATTGATGGAAAAATGAATATTTGCTTAAAAATTTTTGATGCGAAATCATCTAAATATGAATATGTATTCCAAAATTATAAGGTACTGACTGTAATTAAAGAGGTAAGGTAAGGTACGCGTTCAAAAGTAAAAACTAATGCCAAACTATTAATTCAAATATAGATTCAGATTACATTATATCACCGTCTCTTGGAACAAGTGACGAGAAAAATTGGAAAAAATGACATATCTATAAATATCGAAAAATCCGGCATCATTTTGGGACAAATGAAAGATAAATGCGTTACTAGAACTCCTGCTAATTACCTAGGATCCGAATGTTTTCTTGAGGAGGAAAAACTAGAAAAGATCTTGCAACGGATATCCGATATTTTTGAAAATGAACAAAAATGCAGTTGTAAGAAAAATAGAAAATTTAACCACAAATAGTCTATTACATCAGAAATAACTGGTGAACTTCATATTATTAATGCGATGATAACTTATGTATATAACATGTGTTGAAAAGAAATGTCAAAAAAAAAAATATTTTTTTTATAATTATTTAACAATATTTTTTTTTATAATTATTTAACAATATTTTTTTTTTATAATTATTTAACAATATTTTTTTTTTATAATTAATTAATTATTTATTTATTTTAAAACAATCAAATAAATATTTTACTGTGCATATATTTATATACGTATCTTAAATTTAAATAATAATCGTAATTAAAATTTATTTTCATGTTTTTAAATCTTTACTTAAAAAAAAAAAAACTTTATAATAAATATTTCGTTTTATATTAAGCAAAAAAGTAAATGTCGATAAAAACTTGGTGCAACAATTAAAATGTTAAATCAAAATAATAAGATGAATCATCAAACCATCTTAAATAAAAAAAATTTTTTTAAATATTATGTATTAACTTCATTTCATTTCATTTAAGATTTTTATTTAACGTAAAGAATTTTTTTTTTTATTGAATTATAAGCCAAGATATAATTATTGTTATTTTTTTAAAAAAAATATTTTTGTATTGTTTTTTAAAAAATTATATAGTTTATAATCTTATAAATAAAAAAATAATCAATTATAAATTTTTTAAAAACACATTAAAAATTTAAAAATAAGATATTATAATTTAATTTATGTATTTTTCAAAAATTTTATAAAATAAACTTAAAATCAATCAATTAATATTTATATTTACTTAAACAATTATTTAAACTACCTGTATATTAAAACTTTAATTAAAGAAATTAAAAATTTAATATTACTTATATATAGAAGTCTTTGACCAAATTTTTATTTTTTATTTATATTTACAATTCAATAAATAATTAATAAAATAAAATAAAAATTTAAATATATATTAATAAGAATATAAAAAACAAATTTATTTAATAGGTTTTTATTAATATATTATTAAAAATTATTATTATATCAATAAAAAAATTTTTTTTTTTTTTGTAGGTAAACATCATTTCTTTATTTGATTTGTATATAGCAGGGTATACATCGTGAAAGAAAC